TTATTACATGTAAAAACCTCACAAAGAAAGCCTCAAACTTTCTGCCGTAAGTCCTCTGAATTCTCTGGTCTGTCTGAGCAGAGAGGTCAAGCAGTTTCGGGAGGAACTAACCATGTCTTGCCCCAAGCAGTGCAGGAGAAATAACCCCCTCAGTCTCCTGCCTTCAAGAGCTTTTTCTGACAAGACAATGTGATGTCTTCCACCACTGAGTGATGAATTGGTCCAATTAAGTCTCCCGGGTAAGAGTGTACTACTCCTATGGTACCAAGCTCAGAAACCAAGGGCAAAGCCACTGGATTTAGGCACAAAACTCAAGTGTGTTTTACTAATACAAGCAGGCGCTAATCTGACACTCATTTTGTAGGAAACNAAACTCAAGTGTGTTTTACTAATACAAGCAGGCGCTAATCTGACATTCATTTTGTAGGAAACCATGTCTGCCTGATCAAGATACTGCAATCTTGCTGCGAGGATTTCTGTAATCTTCCTTAAAAGGGGACGGGGCTGAATGTGAGGGAGAGAGGACCACTGCTCTCTGTGGTTTAGGCAAGTCTCAGGAGGTTTTCAGTAAATCCAACAGAAGTAATCGTAAGGATAGTAGCCACTGCCGCCTTCTCCTCCTCCGTCTTCTTTAAAATGAATCATTGTGGTGTTGAGTCACTATGTTTTGGAGTCATTTCTTACACAGCAGTAGACAACTGATGTCTCCTGACATTTCTCTCCCATGAAAGCCTTACCTTTCCTTCAGCTTTCCCAACTCCCAGCCGCTTTCGGGGATTATTATTTCCTTCGTAAAACCTCCTCTGCATACTCCAGGACAAGGACTTTCTCCTATTTTTGTGCAGAACCTTTCAATACACGGCTCCTTAAAGCAGTAATTCTTTGCCTTGTTTTATCTTTTTAAATTTCTTTATATGTGTTAACCATATCTTGCTACATGACCTTTTATGAATATAGTCTTCTCTCTTTTTTAAAAAATAGCAATGTCCTGTACTCCAGTATTTTAAAATGCTCCTGGTGTACTGAAGCAGAAGACCTGCTTTTAAACCATCTAGAATTTTAATAAGACTAGGATATTTTAATAAGACATTTTAGCACAAGTATGACCGAAGACACAACAGGCAACCATATAACCAGAGTTTAGATATTAACATTTTTAAGAAAGAAATGATCACAACAGGTATTCATTCCTCTTGCAACAGTTTTGTTTTCAAGGGAAACATAACATTTAAAAAACCCCACCTACACTCAGCTATTTATAACTTTAAGAATGTCTGACTTGGCGAGAATCACCTGATTCTCTCTCTCCTGACACTGACCACCTGTCCTACTGGCCACCGTAGCTGTAGTATCTTCTGCACTCAGAGGCCCTGAAAACTATAAGACTCCCTACCTTCCGGCCAGCTGCACAGCTCCGAGTTCGCCATCTGTACTTTTCAGAAGAGGAGAATGACTATGACTTTTTAAAAATGTTTGTTGCTTTTCAACTTATAAAATAATTGCTTATTGCAAAGAATTCATAAACTACAGAGAACAAGAAGGAGAAAAATCCTTCACAATACCACTCAAAGAGAATTATTGTCGGTGACTTCCTTCCACTCTTTTATTCTGTGCAATAAAAATGACACAATATTATATGTACTGTTATGCATATTGCCTGTTTCCACTCTTCATTATGTTATGAAATTCTTTTCATGTCATTAAATCTTCCTCAAAAACTTAATTTTGAAAGGCTGAGTAGCATTCAGTCTCAGGTAGGGATGGTTTAGAAATCCCCTGTTGGACTTTTATGTCTTCTGGATTTTTAGTGAACATCTGTATATAGACATTTTTGTGTTCACGTCTAATTATTTCTGTAAGATACACTTAAAAAGTGAAAGTTTTGGATCAAAGTATGTGCACATATCAGTACACATACATGCCAAATTTCCATTCAGAAAATTTTCACTAATTTGCACTCGTATCAGCAAAATAGAGAATGCCTATTCCTAGAAACGTTACCCAACATGACTTATTATTTTTTTTCAAAAATTTTAAAATTATAGTTGACATACTATTCATATTATATTTGTCTCATGTTTACAACTTTACTGAGTGACCACCACGAAAAGTCTAGTAACCATTTGTCACTGTAGAAAGTTATTACAGTCTTATTGACTGCATTTCCTATGCTCTGCATTGCATCCTTATGACTTATTTAGTTTATAACTGGAGGTTTCTACCTCTCTACCCCCTTCACCTTTTTTGCCCATCCCCCACTGCCCTCCTCTCTGGCAACTGTCAGCTTGTTCTCTGAATCTCTGAGTTTATTTCTGTTTTGTTTTGTTTGTTCATTTGTCTCGTGTTTTAGATTCCACATGAGTGAAGTCATATGATATTTGTCTCTTTCCATCTAAATTATTTATCATAATACCTCGTAGGTTCATCCATGTTGCAAATGGCTAGATTTTGTTTTTTTTATGACTGAGTTGTATTTCATATATATCACATCTTCTTTATTTATTCATCTATCAATGGACAACTAGGTTGCTTCCATATCTTGATTATTGTAAAAAATGCTGCATTGAACATTAGGGCACAAATGTCTTTTCAAATTAGTGTTTCTGTTTTCTTCAGATAAATACCCAGAAGTGGGACTGCTGCATTCAGATGGTAGTTCTATTTTCAGGTTTTTGAGGAATCTGCATACTGTTTTCCACAGTGGCTGCACCAATTTACAATCACATCACCAGTGCACTTGGGTTCCCTTTTCTCAACATCCTTGCCAGCACTTGTTATTTGTTGTCTTTTTCATAATAGCTATTCTGACAGGTGCGAGGTGATAAATAGCTCATTATGGTTTTGATTTTCATTTCCCTGATGATTACTGGTGTTGAGCATCTTTTCATGAGTGCGTTGGCGGCATCTGTGTGCCTTTTTTGGAGAAATGTCTATCTAGGTCCTCTGCCCACTTTTTAATCAGGTTGGCTGGGTTGTTTCTTTGTTGTTTTTTAACTGTTTTGTTGTATAAGTACTTTTAATATTTTGGATATTAACCTCTCATTAGATATATCATTTGTGAGTATTTTCTCCCATTCGGCAGGTTGTTTGTTTTGTTGATGGTTTCTTTTGTTGTGAAAAAAATTTTTAGTTTGATGTAGTCCCAGGTGTTTATTTTTACTTTTGTTGCCGCTGCCCGAGGAGTTGTATCTAAAAAATAATCGCCAAGACTGACGTCAAAGATTTTATTGGCCATGTTTTCTTCTAGTTTGATGGTTTCAAGTCTTACATTTAAGTTTTTAATCCTTTTTGAGTTTATTTTTTTTATATAGCAAAAGAAGGTGATCCAGTTTCTTTTTTTCTGCATGTAGCTGTCCTGTTTTCCCAGCACCATTTATTCAGGAGACCGTGTATTCCTCAGTATATATTGTTGCTCCCTTGATTGTAGATTCTTTGACTATATCAGCATGGGGTTATTTCTGGCTCTCTCAGTTCTGTTCCACTGATCTGTGAGTCTGTTTCTGTGCCAGTACCATATTGTTTTGATGACTATAGCTTTGTAGTGTAAATTGAAATCAGGGAGCATGATACCTCCAGCTTCGTTGTTCTTTCTCAAGACCACTTCAGCTACTCAGGGTGTTTTATGATTTCATATAAATTTTAGAATTATATGTTCTTGTTTTCTGAAAAATGCCATTGGTATTTGGATAGGGATTGTATTTAATCTGTATATTGCTTTGGGTAGTATGGACTTTTAAATGATATTAATTCTTCCAGTTCATGAGCATGGTGTATCATCTTCGGCTTCTTATGATTATTTTTCTTAATCAGCAAGGGCCTTGCCAACCTGAGAGGAAAAAATATTTTGTTGTTACAAAGTTCCATATGGAAATACACAAAGGAGGAGTGGTGAATTTTCTCCACTCCAAGACAAATGTATAGGTTTGTGCAGGTGCTCCCACAGTTTTGCCTATTTCTGTGTGAACATATATATGAGCTTAATTTGAACAAAAATGGTATTATAGTTGTCTTCTATTCTAAAAAAACACACAAAACTAACTGGTTTTTTTTTTAAACCAGTTAACACTAAGTTGTGGAAATTATCAGTTCAGCCTACCTCATTTTCTAATAGTTCATTATATCATCATGGACATAGTGGCTTATCATTGTCACTTATTCTTTACTTTGCTAGTGGTATCATTTTCAGGTAAGTAAAGTTAAGAATTGAATGGTTAGGAATGAGGGGAATGAAGGCAGTGTTTTTGTACCTGTTCTCTAGTATCAGCAGTGAATTGTACTAATTCATCTAAACCTGCTCCATCCCTGACACAACAGTTATTATCAAGAATGACCGAGCTCCATTCCACACCTGAATGAGACCCTTTGTAGTGTTTGAACCTATACACCTCTTTCACTCATGAGTAACTGCCCATCCACTAGCTTCAAAAATTGTCTTCACCTGTTTAGTTACCTGATTCTCATTCTCAATGAAACAGGCACACAAATGCTTATAAATAATTACCTCTTATTATTTTCTTACTGAGGTATTTCTATTTTTATTGAACATTTTTGCCATTTGAACAAAGACATGACAAAAAATGTTCAATGCATTTGTAAACCCTTATAACTTTGTTTCTGTAAATAACTAAACAATGGGAAAATGGGGGAATCCTGTGGAGCTAACATTAAGTTTACAATGCAATTCTTGGGTCAATCTTAATATATTCATTCAACAGATATTCCTTGAGCTCCTGTTATGGTTCAGGCACTGTGCCAGGTGTAAGGAATAGATGGGGGAGCTTAAATCCTAATGGGGGAGTCAGACAGATAAATAAAGCTGGGTAAAAGGTTGCAATGGAAAGGCCGCCTCTGTTCCAGGCACCATGATATTTGCTGAGGTTATTGTGAACAAGACAGGCGTTGGCAGAAATTAACCAAAGAATAGGATAAGGAATCTGAATGAAATTCAGGAAAGTTTGTCACTGTTAATAACCATTAAGACCCCACGGGGATGAGAAGCCTTTGCATAAACTCGTATGTAATTGTTGACAATTTAGGTGGACCAATTGGACAGAACAGCCCCCCACATCACACACTTGCATTCCCCTTCTCAAGTGGGACTCCTGAAAAATGGCTGTTACGGGATTTACATCACTTCCCGTGTGTTGAAGGCATCAGATCCTGACACCGACGACAATCAGATTATCTTTAAGATTTTACGAGGCCCCCAACATGGACATCTGGAGAACACAACAACAGGTACTGTCTTCCTTAATCCTTGTAATTGCTCATTTTAAAATAACCAGTGGCTGGCAATGCTAGAAAGTAATTTAATTAAGTGCAGGCCCATTTGGTAAACACTCCCCAGGACTTACTGATAGATGCAGTTTCTAAATCAATATTGGTGCAAAAGAGAGTTTGAAGCTGAGCCTTCCCAAATTCATCTTGACTGGGAGAACCAAATACTAATACATTATTTCCTTATATACTGTTGTTGTTTACTTTTAAAAAAAAAACACCCCACAACAGCCAGACTGTAATATATTCAGAGGAACACTTGGTGTCAGGGCCAAATTCATATTTGTGACTAATATTTTTCTATCATAAATTCTAAATGATGTTAGTTTATTTTTGAAATTCTGGGGTTTTTTTATATAATGGTTTCTCTGGATTGTATATTACTTCTGTTTTCTGAAGATAGTGATCAAAATATATCACTAGAGAACAGCACAGAATTACAGATTTTATTACTGTGTCTTTCTACTCTCCCTCTAGTTTTATATTTTCTTTAAGGCACAATATTTCTGAGACAGAATAAACTTTAAGACTAATTTAAGTTCATTGCATATGATTTTTAAGACAATTGCAATAATGTTAATTTCTTTAAAAAATATGCTTAGAGATTTTTAAAGCTGATATTTAAAATAAAATAGCCATGCAACTTTATCAGCTCTTATTTACTATTTTGTTTGCTTACCCACTAAAGTCATTTATCTCTTTTTTTGCAGGTGAATTTATTCATGAGAAATTTAGCCAAAAGGACTTAAACAGTAAGACCATTCTTTACGTCATAAACCCATCTTTGGAATTTAATTCAGATACCATGGAATTTCAAATCATGGACCCCACAGGGAACTCTGCCACTCCTCAAATGTAAATTCTTTTGCTTATTCAGTAGTCCTGCATAGAATGTCCAGAATGTGTCTGATTAGGAGAGTGAAATGTTGTTTTGCAAACAGAATCTAAGAGGGTAAATTAATAGACCGTTTCACAAGCTCACAGAGTGTATTTTGGAGAGCCATTATTCTATTACAGCTTGATCATGGGAAAAGCCAGTAGCTCTACAGAGCATTTAAACACTCTGCAGTATTTAATACAGAGTATTAAACATTAGAAAGTTGAGTCGTGTGGTGCTGGGTGGTTCAGTTTATGCACATAAATGCATTCACTTTCCCAGGCGGAGAGGGTTCCGCCTGGACAATGCCCGAGCATCAGGACCGAGCCTGCAGGCTCATGCACGAATCGTGCAGCCAGAGGTCACTCTAGGACCGTGTTAGCAGCGAGAGTCTAAAGCGCGCAGAGCAGCAAGAACGACCAGACAGGAGGGGTTAGCAAAACAGCTCTTCCCCTCCAGAAAACCAACCAAACCAAAACAGATGGCTGGAGTCTGCCCTACAAGTTAATAAGCCTCTCGTAGGCAAGGTGAAGGCAGTGTAAGAGGAAAGCGGGCTTGGCCGCAGTGAGTGGCACTTAGATGTTGTATAATGTGTGCCGCCCTCAGAAAAACAGGAGTCAATCCTCAACATTAACAAGGTTAGCAGACCCCAGTAATTTCGCTCCCTGGGTCCGTCCGTGCTCTAGACGCTTCTGGGAGGTAGACTTTGAATAACTGAGCAGTTATCGGGTGGCTGTAGAAAGGTGTGTTACAGTCCTGTTCTTGTTCTGCTGTGTTTTCCTTTCTTTTAAAATTTGATACCCTTCCCCAGTCACCTCTAAGAAAAATTGGTATTAACCATATACTAGTAAAATTACACATCGTGAGTGAGTACAGCCTCTTGATGGGATTTTTATGACAGGATAGGGACAAAGGAAGGAAAAACCGAGAGAGTTGCCTCTGTTCTCTTCAGGCTTGTTTTTTTTTTTCTGATCCTGGTTGTAGTTCCCAACAAGCACCGGCAGAGGGCTCTGCAGCCATTGTTAGAAAAGCTGGCATCCTCGTAACAAAACACATTCCCAGGGTTCCGCCTGCCTTGCCCTGATAACGTATAGTATCTGGCTCGGGTTTATTAACCTCAGAGATTTTTATTGAGTGGCTGCTATATGCCAGGTGCACAGTATTAGAAACTGGTAAGTAGATATGGACAAGGAAGGCCTCGCCCTTGACGTTTAGATATAATCATGAAGTTATAAAATTAAAACAGGTCACCACCACCCATTAAACTGCTCTTGCCTAAGAGAAATGATTCCTCAGGATTTCCTTTATAGAAAATATATTAACTACTTGCAATTTCAATCAAACATCTTCCAACTCAAGAAAATGTTTTAAAAAAAAAATCCTGCTCCGAAAACATCAATAAATTGACTTCGCTTGCTTTTTAATAGTCCAACTGAAAAATATTAGAATGCTGATCAGACTTGCTACTGCTGGTCCTGCATGTGTGAACACAGCATAGCTGATAGGAGATCCGCCCCCCCAGCATTAGTATTTACATGCCCATTTTATTCTTCATCGTTACAAAGGACATTGCTTTTGAAGATGATTTATGTTTTTAAATAATCCTCAGATTTATAGGAGAGTCATGGAAGAAATTATAACCTTAATGGAAGCTGTTTTAAATAGGCTTCTGCTTGTGTTGCATATTAATTTTTATATACCTATGCTGAAGATATTTCAAATTCAGCTTAAAATAATTGGAACCAATGGAACAAAATGATGCCTACCAAGGGCTAATCCAAATATAATTTAAATTTGATTCTGATGTATATTAAGTTGTTTTCTTTAGAATGGGCAAGGAGAGGTAGAAATTACTCAGCATTTATGTCCATAACTTCTGAATGGTGTAATTGTCTCCAGCCTCATTTATTAGATGTTTTTGGAACAAGAAGCACATTTTCCAGTAAGAAACAGTCTTATCAGTAGTGGGTTGTCTTCCCAAGACAGCCAGCAAGAACCTAGTTACACATACAATATAAATCACAGGCATTTGCAATATAATTGTTTTCTTCTCTATTTCATCACCCTTCATTTAATCATCACAACCACCTATGCATTAGGTACCATCATAATACAGAATTTACACATGAGAAAACTGAAGCACAAAAATAAGATGTGATTTTTCCAAGCTTATGTAGCTAATTAGCGAAGGAGCTGGGATTCAGGCCCAGGAAGTATGGCTCTAGAGTCCATGGTTTTCCTCACTGCATGAAAGAACTTCTTGCCCACTCTTACCAACGTATGCTAATTGGCCTAAGGGAAGGGAGCTGCAGGCTTATCTCCCTTCTTTCACTCCAGTTATTGGCCACTCAGGCAACAAGAAAAAGCAATACTTACTCTTCAAGGACCTTAAGTTTTAGTTATTTTTTTAAATGTAAATTATAGGTATTAATACTAGCATGCACTCTGTGTCTAACACACCAGGAATTAGTATAGATAATAAACAATAAACCACTGATTTAGAGCCAAAGAACAGGGTTTGGGCTTTGAGTCTGCCATTGACTTGGGCGATTGTTCAGGCCTTACTCATTTCATCTGTCAAATGGGGGCAATACCAAAATTTGTTTAGAGAAACAAATGCTTAAAATATTTGAAAGTATCTTGTATATTTGAAGTCCTTAACAAGTTTAACTTGTGGTAGTGATTACTATTGTTGTTCCTTCATGTGGGTGCAAAGATTATTTGAAGAAGTATTCCAGAGACATTGGGTGGCCAGCTAAAGCCCAGCTCTAATTAGAAATTGATGCTGGGATGATTCACAAAGTGAACAATCAATATGCTCATTAATCAATAAGCTAAATGCTATACCACTTTGTGTCCTTTGGCTTAGACAGGATAAATAGATTAATATTCTGCTTAGTTGAGGAGTGAAAACCTTCTGTAATAAAGCTAAAGGGACTGATGGGTGCAATCTGGAGCAGAAGGGGGCCTATTTTAAAAAATGAGAAGGTCCTATGTTCAGTGGGAAAGTCCCAGAATATTGATTGCTAGTAAGTTTTCGCTCTTGCAGCATTTCTATGGAATACCATTCCTGAATGGTCAATGAATGTTCCATTAAAAAGGGTGTTCGGAAAGCTGATTTAGGCTAAACTAATCAAGTTGTTACTAGCTAGCTAGCTTGTGTGCTGCTGAACTGCATCACATCCCAGAATCAGAGATGCTTGCATGGATTGGGGCTCCCTCAGGGAGGAATATAGTCTGTAGCACATCTGAACTTGATTTGACTGTAGAACCACCTCTCCATCCTTTTACCTCCCCCACCCCCCACAATAGCTCATGGAACAAGTTTTTCATGGAATACATTTGGGAGGCATTTTATCATGAATAGAAATTATTTTATAACACTGAAATCCATGGAGATTTGCATAAAGATTTAGACGTGGCTCAATGCCTAAATTTCAGGTACTGTGCTAGGTACTTTCACATATGTTGTCTAATTTAATCTACAAAGCACAATCCTCTGAGGGTTATAAGGAAATCAGGCTCAAAGCATTTAAGTAATTGGCCTGAAGTCACTTAAGTGGATGAGTGGCAGAGCTGAGAGTGAGCCCTGATCTCCTGACCTCAAAGCTCACCCTCATCTTACTCACCTTGGTGGCTCTCGCCTTGATGTCACTCACTCACAAGCTCAAGTCTGTTCTCTAGTCCAACTTGAACCTCAAGATGATCTTCAGAATTCTCAAACTAAACTACACAGGGCCCACATCATTCATCCAGAACACCTCTGCAGACTGTAGAATGTAGCCAACTTAGACCAGTTTCTTCATACATCATCTATGTTGACCTCTTTCTTGAGCGCACTGACAGAGTGAACTTCAAAAGAAAAGCTGACCCACCGAGGTTCTTTATCACTCAGAGGCTGCATCCCCAGCTGCTGCATGACTCCAAGCACCCGATTCCTCTCTTCCCTCCGGCTACCCTCAGCCTAGCTGGTCTATCATTCATTCTTGGCCTTAAAAGAGAAGGGACAAAAGAAATGATCAAGAGAAGGAATGTCTAATAGGTGAACTTTGCTGTGGTTTAGCAGCTTTTATGAAACACCTTGCAGGGGAAGAGGTGGGAACAATTGGCCAGGTAAAGCTTTCATCTTACCTGCAAGCCAGAAGTTAAAGTATTCATTTCCAAACTTGATCTAGGAGAGCACAGAGGAAGGAAAGGGAAATAGCACTTATTAAGCACCCACTGTGTACAGGTGCTTTCTACATATTAACAAATTGTAATTTTCATCATTTGACGTCAGTATAATTCTCCTCATTGTAAAGATAATGAAAGCCGAGGCCTAGAGAGACTGAGTAACTGACCGTAATCACACACTAATAAGTGGTTGCAAGATGTGTCTGACTCCAAAGCGCTTATTTGGGTCTCACTCTGCTGCCTCCTGGCTAAACACTGTTTCCCCATTATCATGAGAGAAAGACTAAAAGGAAAACACAGGTGTTCGTAGCGTTAGATTATGGAGCTTAATAGCATCCTCTTTGAATTGATAAATCTTAGATTGACTACTTGGAAAAATATTTTTTAACATCTCAATTTTCTTAAGTCATATGCTACTTGATTATAGATGAAGATCTAGTTATAAGAATAATTTAATCACAATTTTAGCTTCTGTAAAACCTTTCACTGAGAAGCTCAAGATACTTAATGGGTGTTCATTAAGGTTCATTTAACTCCTTTGAAGTACAGACTCATGATTATTACACTTAGGGATGTGAGGAAACTGAGGCATAGGAGTGGCTAAGTACCTTTTTCACACACTCTTATTAACCCAGATTAATGTCCCAAATCCCAAACTGGAGTTTTAATCATAAATGTTTCTTTAAGTTTAATGTTTCTACATATAAATAAATCAAGGACGTGGAGAATAAAATATTAGGAAGTATATATTTATGACTCTACCTCAACACTATTGACATTTTGGGCCAGATAATTCTTTGTCATGGGATGCGGGTAGGGTGGGTGTCCTGTGCATTGAGGATGTTTAATAGTATCCCAGTATTACCCTCCTCCTGTGGAATAATCCAAGCTGTCTCTAGATATCTGCTGAATGTTGAGAACCATGCACACAATTTAGGAAATAGCATATGTGCATGTTAAGAAATCATGATGCATGGTAGAATGCTTTCTTATCAATGCCATCTCTCTCTCTTGATAGCCAAAGATAGCCAAAGAATCCAGAATAAGTCAGGGCTAGAAAGAACATATGAGGATCATCCTAGCCTAGCATTTTTTTAAAAATTGTGCGTAATCTGGTGTTAATAGGGCTGTAGAGAAAAAAAGTTTTGGTAGTCAACGTAGCTTAGTGGGCTAAAGAAGATTCATTTAACAAGTATTTCTTGAACACTTACTATATCCTACTCACTCTACTGGGTATTTGGAAATACCTCAGTGAACAAGACCCCTTTTTACTCGGAGGATAACATAGTATATCTAAGGTAATTGAACAGTATTTAAAAATGTATGTGATACATACTTTGGAAAATGAAAAAGTTGATTGGGATAAGGGGAATCACAGATGCTGGACTTTGGGGGTGGATTGCTATTTTAAATCGAGTGTTTAAACAGCTTTTGTTATACCTGACTTAGTGTCAGTGAGTGACAGAGCCTCATGACTTCCACTCCAGTTTAATTTCCACTACTTCATCCTATGTCTTCCATTCACGACAGTGGTTTGGGGAACCAAATTTTAGTTTTCACATCCAACCAAATTTTCTATTGTGATGAGTGCCCCCAAATCATTTAGCGAAGTATTTCTCAACTGGGGATGACTTCCCCCCATGGGACATTTGGAAATGTCTGGAAAGAGTTTTGATTGTTGTGACTGAAGGGGAGTGGTGAGTAGAGGCAGGGATGCTGCTAAACATCTTACAGTGCCCAGGACAGCCCTCTCAACAAAGAATTGTCAGGTCCCAAATGGTGTTGGGGTTCAGAAACCCTGACCTAGGGGCTGAAGGACTTGAAGTGATTCCTGTATGGGTTTTGCGTAAGTGTGTCCGGAAAGTTCATTTCTGACCTTAGAATGAGCTTTACTCAATAGTAATAGTGGAAGGGAGGGATCATTAAAATGTGTAGGTTTGAACCAACCCTTGTCTCCATGACACCTACACATCCAGCGCTTTCCCAGTCTCTCCTGGGCTCCTGCATCTGGCTGCCTGCTTGGTGTCAAGCCCGCAGCTGTGTGGCTTCCAGCGGGGGGAATTCCCAAGCGAGTGACTACACCTCTTACTTTCCCTCCAGGTGTTTGTGCAGAGTTTAAGCAACCACAGTCTCAGCGTAGAGAGATCTTCTCAGATGCAGCACTGCAAAAAGCCAAAAAACATTCAAAACACGTGTTGCATATTTCCTGTAGGTATATAAGTGTTTGGCAACTTAAATATTTTTCTGGAAAATATATAGCCTGGCTTGAATTTTATGGCTTTTCAATAGATCTTTATTATTTGTAGTGAGTAGTTTCAAGAAAATAAAATAGAACATTGTGTAACGACAACCTGAACATCTAAGCATTATGCAGTATTCTAATGGGCATCAGGGAAATGCAGGCATGTCCCAGATGCCAAGACCCTTTATGCTTTGAAGCTGAGCAGCACTCCCCATAGCCCCTTTATTGATCTAGGCCAGCAATCAAACTGCATTTAGCGTGGACCTTGAGGTCCTCTGGACCTGCACAGTGACAATGATGCATTTTTGCTCGACATGGTTAGCGTTAACTGGACAAGTTCTCAGGAGACTGGACATGGAACCTCATTTGAACCGTACGGAGACTTAGCTGAAATTCTTCCCCATTTTCTATTTTACATGTTCCCATTGCTCTCCTGTCTTTCCTGTTTCATGTTTTTGTCTTTTCCCCCAACCTCTTTTGCTGAATTTTTCCTTTATCCTTTAGCCTGGATCCTTTGCTACATGTTATTTAAAATAACAATTAATTAGTATAATAATAATAGGATGTTATCTCTATTGGCATTTACAATATCCATGTTGCTTGCTATCTTGTACTTTTTTAAAACATAGTCATTTAATTCTTTATTTCTTGATCGGTTTCATGCCAGATTTGAATTCAGGTATATTAAAGACCCATGAGGTTTGTAATATTATTTAATGTAAGGATCCTGCTTTTATGTCAGAATTTGATGAAGCCCAGCATGCCAGTAACAATGAATTTCATATCTACTGATAAACAAAATATCAGTGTTCATAGAAATTCATCAATCTCTGCAATAATTCCTTGCTTCCTCACCTGTCCCACTGGTCCATGGTCCCTGAAGTAGGAGACAGAGTTAGTGAGTTTATTTTGCTAGGGAACTTAATATATAGGATGTGACTGTGACGCATGATTGGTGTGAGGACATAAAGTGGTTGTTAGAGTATAAACTTATTCTCTAATAAGAATGGTCCCCAGGAAAGCCTAGAGAGCCCTGTGTGATTTGAGAACTCCATGCTCCATCCACATGGTGGCACCCAGGATTTCTAGTTCTGTAAGAAAAAAATTATTAAAAAAAATTTAAACCTGGAGGAAAGAGCCTGAATCCAGTTGGCCTGTTTGAAAATACAGTAAGGCAACCACCATGGATTTTGTAAATGTAGATGAAAGGGAAATGAGTGAGACAAGCAATGGAAGTGTGTTAAAGCATCATAGTGAAGACTGCTTGTGTCTTGTATATTGCTGAAGGTTACAGGGGGTGAAAAAAAAAGTAACAACATGTTTGGGGAGAAATATTTGGGTGTAACATCTTAAGTTTTCTAACCTGAAAAGGGGACATACTTCAGGAAAAGATAAAATTGTATTTTTCTGCTCTAGCTCAAACACAAGAGTCACGAACTTCAGTTATGTCCTTTCCAAAAGTAAGTGCCTCCTTGAACTTCACAACTGCTGGCTCCTTTCCCTTCAGAACACTCCAGTTTAAGTACCTTTTTTTGGGTCATTAATAACTGCGGGAACTCCAACAGTCTTTTAACCTTGGTTTCTGCATTTGTAAAATAGAGTTCTAATAATTTCTCTGCCTACCTCATGGTGTTGTTGTGTTAAGTGAGATGATGTTAGTAAGAGTTCTTTGTGAACTAAAGCGCAGCCAACAAGTGTAAAATTTCCAGCACTGATGCGGGTTGGTGGACCACCTCCATCACCAGGATGTGCACCGCTGGTTCCGTCTCCTACCCAGCCCAGGACCCCTATGGACATGTATATACATGTCTAACGATTTTCCCTTTCCTTTTTCTTTCGTGCACAGGTTGGAACTGAAGTGGTCTCATATTGAGTGGACACGGACTGAATATGAGGTCTGCGAGAACGTGGGCGTGTTGCCCTTGGAAATCACCAGGAGGGGCTATTCCATGGACTCAGCCTTTGTGAGTGTAAAGGTAACAGCTCTAAAATGTAAACTCTCAAGCTAAAACTGGGGTTGCTGGTTGGTGCCTCTGATTATTTTCTTAGAGAAGATCAGAGTAAGCAAGGAAATTTTCAATTGTGGGAGAGTCACACTATTCTGGAGGTTCTAGGTATAGAATCTCCTTGCCCTTCCACCCTTTATCTAGCTTCATTAGCTCCTAGAGATGATATTTTTAACTCATTTTTAGTTTGTAAATCTGGTTATTAAGTCTTGAAGTTTGATTTCACTGGGAGATATATACAACCTGGTGAACCTGGGCCACACTCTGCTTTGGAAAGAAATGTTTGTAGGCAAGACATCCTGTGACCTCACAGAAAGGTACCCAGAGCGACTATCAGTCCCCAAATGGCTTTCTCTGAGCGTGCACCAGGATCACTTCCTCTGGTTTCAGCAGGGAAGGAAAATCAGGGGACAAACCTATCATAAGAGTCCCCAAGCCTTATGTACAAAAATAAGAGAGCATATTTCAATACAGGTGCCCGGAAATATAAGGAATTTTCAGTAATCATTTTGGGATTTGTCAACTTGCTATTCCCTTCTATTGACATAGACCTGGAAACAGCCTGTGGCTTCTAGAATTGAAGGATGCTTTAAGAGCTGCTATCTCAATGGCACTTCAGGAGAGGGAAAGCATGAGAAGCTTTTACACACTAATGACAGCAAATCGCCTTAAGACCCCCTCTTCAGCCTAATGAAAGGGACTCTGGTATTAGCTTCTGGGAAAAACGGCATCTCAGTTAAGTCTCAGTTACAATAATAAATTCAAATCACCCTCAGAACCTTGTGCACCTAAATTCTACCACATTTATCTTTGCCGTGGGCATAGGCTCTTTGCCCCAGGTCCGTGGGTGCTTTACTGTTGTAAAAGCATCAGACAGAGCGGCATGCCCTGTAATTCCCCGGCAGATTGCTTAGGGAAAGAAGGAATCTGCCTGGGTGGTTTTCTAATAGCCCTCTGGTCCTGCTTAGAAAGCACCAGATGCTTGAGTCTGGAGTTTTGGGCTACACCACCACTCACCTTGCCAGGTAGGAAGAACATACATGGTATGACATGGAACCTTTTGTCTGCTTAAGCTGCATGCACACCGTGAACCTGCCAGCCGAGCGCACAGGCCTCCATCAGACGCAGCCGAGTCCGTCAGGGACGACTCTGTCCACAGCACACGGCCGGCTGCTCCACCCCAGAGCTTCCTGGCTTGACCAGGAGCCGAGAAGGAGAAAGCCCTTTCCCAGGTTGTTTGCCCTGGGAACAAATCGTGCATCTTCACTGGGCTGATTTCTCCAACCACCTTGCCTCAGACCATTCCTTTTCCCACGTAGGATTCTGTAAACTCAGTGGTGGTAAATACTAGGTAATTGCACATGCAAGAACCATGCGGGGATATGTAACTCCTGGCATATGGTGCATGCAGGTGTACAATGGGCTGCCTCTCCGCAATGAAAGGCTCTTCGGGAGCAGCCTTGGCACTGCAGGCGGAGAGCAAATGGGTTGTAGGAGGTAATACTCTTCTTGAGCACAGTGTTTCCAGGGCAGACCCATCGACAGACGGTAGGGCCTTTGATTAGAAACAGAGATAATGTCTGAGGCCATAGAAATAAGAATTCTAGAGTTTTTAATTGTGCATTTTATTTCTTTGTAAGAAAGTAAAGAAATATAGTAACCCACTTTCCTGACCATCTTAAACATCTAAAAAATGCAAAAGTAGTAGTAGCTGCCTGTGTTTTCCACAGGGTTCCCATCCAGTGACCTCTTTTTCAGCCAAGGATATCATTCTTAACATGTACATATGTAGGCTCCCTCTGGGGGAAGTTAAGGCCATAACTTTAGAGCCCTAGGTTTTTAGCCCTAGGAATGGGGAACATGGGATCAGTCAATAGTCTCTTTAAATTAGAGCAATTTTTGTGTTCTTTTGCAACTGACTTGGTAGAGCCTCTTGGTTCTGGGTGTGGATTGCCTTTCTGGGGTTGTTCACCAGGTCTGTCATCCCCACACAGTCCTCATTCATGTCTGTGAAGAGGGATGGCTTCATTCCGACAGGAACACGGAGCAGACTTGCTTTAATTCATCTAGTCTGAAGGCTTTCAGGGCCTGGAGCTCGCAGGAGATCTCAGAGCTGGCTGCGCAATCAGCACACAGGTTGTCAGGAGCACCTACATTTCTTCCCCGCTTCACTCCTTCCCCTCTCTTTCCTCTGAGGCATTATTTTAAAATAAGGTTGGGTTAAAGGGAAGGTAATAAAATAAAATCCTACTCATAACAAAGAGAGAAAGATTGTTTAAAATTCATGTTACTTTCTCGAATAATGGAATCATTTATAAAGAAGCAAAAAATAATTTTACTTTCATTGATATTAGTTTAGAAGAAAGTTAACTTTAAGGAAGATCCATGTAGCTTGGATCAAAAATGGTTTATTATAATAAAAAACACGTTATGTTAAAAACATAGTGAGTTTAGTCTAGTATGAGACTAGACTAGAGGTTTTTCTATTATAGAATATTTATTTTTATTTAAAAATGACATTTATTTCCTTTTAAGGTCAACCAAGTGTCAGCTACAGTTGGAAAAGATTTTACGATTACTCCATCTAAATTGATTCAGTTTGACCCAGGTACGTTTTGTGTCTACAGTTTATTTCATGTTTTTGTAAGGAAGTCTGGAGATTTGGGAGAATATGGGACATTATGCAACTTACCCAGAATATAGGACATTATGCACCTAACCAGAAACTCCTTAGGGAACTGTATCACCTACTCCAAGAGAGATCAATTTGGACTTGGGGTTTTGTCCCTCATATTTTATTTTATTACAAGTGAGTATTTCTTTAAAATGAGATCATAACAGCCCTGGCCGTTGTGGCTCAGTTGGTTGGGCGTCATCCCGTGTACTGAAAGGTTGTCAGTTCGATTCCCGGTCAGGGCACATGCCCAGGTTTTGGGTTCAATCCCCTGTGGGGGGGCATGTAGGAGGCAGCCCATCGATGTTGTGCTCTCACGTTAATGTTTCTCTCTCTCTAAAGATCAATACTTTTTTTTTAAAAATGAGATTGTAACAAATAAGAAATATAAAATATCAAAGCAAACATCCAAAAATACAGAAAAAATGTCATTTTAAAGATTAATTAAAGCTGAAATAATTTAATTGCCTCATATCTTGATGGAAATTTTCAGAATGTTATATTCACGTGGATTCCTAAAGGTCATTTCTAAATTATTTCTAGTGGAATAGGTTGTTATGAGGATATTCCAGGGAAATTGTTGTTTAATTAGATAGCACATATTTTGCTTTCAATCTGTGAAAAAATTTTTGCTAGGTGCAGAAGGGAATACACAATAGGGTGCCTGCTCTCAAGGATGTTCTATAATTTGGGAAGTACAAACATGAAAACAGCACCCCAGTAGTACATTGGGGCCCAAAGGATGAGCCATTGTTCTAGCTAAAGAAAATGCTGGAAGATTTCCCAGAATTCTGAGCAGGTAGAACAAGAAGATGGGGACTTTCAGTTGAAAGATGACACATTGGTGGGGAAAGCCCTGAGCTGGAGCCTTGCCTTCTCCCCCTGGTTTCTGCTGGTGGGGGCAGATAGCACTCACTGCTCTGCACAGTTCTCTCTCCTTCCCTCTGCTCTGGCTCACCTGTCCAGGGGCAAATGGGAAAGGCCTTGAGAAGCAGCCACCCTTGTGGCTTTGCGGTCTCCTGCAGAGGAGGTGTTCTGTGCTCTGAGAACTCATCATCAAGTCCAAACTCTTGCCATTGTCTGCCCCTGACACAAAATGTTTATGGCAAAACAAAACGGCTGAAATACCATCAACACTCCATCGGCAATTTTAATGTTAAACATAGAAAATAAATGCCTTTCTGCAGTTCATCACAAGCAGCATGATGCTTGATGACTTTATTTGTTTGCGGGGACTGCCCTAACAAAGAATCACAAACCAGGTAGCTTAAAGCAGAAATGTATTGTCTCACAGTTGTGAAGGCCAGAGTTCAAGATCAAGGTTTGAAGACTGTGAGAAAAAAATCTGGTCCGTGCCTCTCTTCCGTGCTCTAGTGGTTTGCTGGAGTCTGTGGCGTTCCTTGGCTCCTGCTGTCTTCATGTCTCTACTGGCATTCTCCTTGTATCTGTGTCTCTGCTCAAATTTCCCCTTTTTATAAGAATTTATTTTCCATTAAGGTCATATTCGGAGGTATTGGGAATTAGGACTTCAAGATATGGACTTTAGAGTGACAAAATTCAACCTATCACAATAAGATTTAAATTTACACGGCAACAACCCAAGTATTGTTGTTGGCCTCCTTCCTGTGAAACTTACAAAAGTTTGTTTCGTAGGCTGACCACACTCTGACAGAAGAGACGTTCCCATTATGTACTGGATGTTTCCATTCAGGTTGCCGCAGGCTCTTAGGTTCTGGTCAGCCCTAAGATGAACCGGTGTGGCGCATTTGCAGCATGCCCTTTCGTTCTTCGTGTTAAGGCAGTCCCAATCTTTCTACTTTTTGAGAGTCGGGAGTCTCTGTCACATATCATCTTTATTATCTGAGGCCTGTTTGTCACAAGATTATAAGTGATCTTGGTTTTCAGTAGATTTGAGCAGCCCACTAGGTGCTCTGTTTGGAACTAGAATGCATGACAGTTAGAGGACTCTCGGAAAGCTACTTCTTGGAGCTGCTGCTGGATAAGATACATACCCATTTGTCCAGAAGAGTTTATATGCTGTTTTGAGTAGATACTGATGGCTTCTAGGGGCCCTAAAAAGTCATGATTTTAGAGCTTACTTAGACTTGTTAAGAAATAAATAAACATACCTTACAAGTTATAAAGAAACAACACTTACTTGGATGTTCATTGTTTAAGAACGTATTAGTCAGAAACAGTTTCATAAACTAAAGGCTTACTTTAGAGCATTTGTAAGTTTCCCATGTGCACAGGTCCTCTAAATGTTTATTCACTCCCATTTGTTAATTCTTGCCTCTTTTGTGGCTGGTACCTCCACCCTCTCACCCACCCCTTTGGCCCAAGCAATCTGTGCGTTCTTTAAAAACAGCAGTTTCCACAATTGGAGACGAAACAGAGAGTGAGAAATCAAAGACGGTGGGATATGATAAGGTTACAGAGTTCCTGGGAGGCAGCTGGAGAGAAGCTGAGTGATTTTTCAGGCCAGTGAGCTATACTCAAGTAAGCTCACCTTGCAGCCATTGTACCAAACCAAAAACTAATCCTGACTCCTCTGCATTCAGCTTTTGTGACTAATCGTGAGTCAAAGTGTAAATATTCGTAATAAAGTGATTGTTTTCCTTTAAAATATGTGTTCTTGGAATGTCTGCTGCATTCTTAATTGAGACTTCATCATTCCTGAGAGTCAAAATATTTTCCAAAGGATCAGCTCTCTCAGGTGGCATTTACTAAAAAACATGGAGAAAATGTCTTTCAGTGGAGAAATCTGCCTTTGCAGGAAAATAGCCAGGAATGGAGCTACTCTGTAAAGCGGGGTATGTCTGCATAAAATGACACTTCTCTCTCCTCTTCCACACCTTTTGTTTTATGGGAACAGGGGGCCAGTTCAAGCCTCCTGAAATTGCTTATAATCGGGGTAATTTAACAAATACTTTTCACCTTGAAAGTGGGAAAGGAAGGAAAAAGAAAAAAAAACAAGACAGTTCTTACTTCCAATCTCATTAACCTAAGAAAGTTGGTCCTATGTGCACACCTGGTCGGCATGGAAGCAGAGTTGAAATGCAGGCAAACAAATCAGAAGCACTTAAATGAAACTGGGAATAGGTTTTCTCTAGCCATCTGGTTCTACTCCATAAGAAAAAAAATTGTTAAAATAAGAGGGCCTTGGAAATAGTGTTTTTGTATTGGATTTTTATTTGAATAATGCTTAACTGAATGGGCTTTGAGAGTCAAAACGTTTCTCTGAATAGTAAAAATCTTGTATTCATATGTTTTCTTCGTTGTCCAGCCTCTCGTTTCCTTATGCCAGTTTCATTAGAGTAGTTGCCACCTGGTCTCCCAACTTCTAGCCTCTCTGCCTGGGCCCCTAAAGCTTCCCACATCACTTCCAGCTTTCTTTTTTCAATACATCCATTTTCAAGAGCCTTCCCTGTTGCTTGTGGTTTAAGGTCTGAATCCAGCCACCTCTTTAGTGTCCTGGGCTCTCTGCAATCTGACTCAAAGCTGCGACTGTGGCCTCATTGCCCCCTGCTCACCCCGTGGCCTCTCTATTCCCGCGGCTGATCCGCTCAGCTTTCCCTGAGCAAGGCCACTGCTCTGCTATCTTCCTGCCTTTGCTTCTGTTGTTTGCCAATTTCTTCCCTCCAAATCCTTCCAGCTCTGGAGCTCACATGCATATAGTACTCACCATCTACTGTGTGTCTTTTCACAGCTAATCATACATAGCCTTGAATAATTGACTTTGCTTGTACTTATATCTTGTCTCTTCAGAGAGGTTTTAAAATCTTTCTGTCAGCCTTGCTTAGGTTACACCTCTGGTATTTTCCATAGCATCTAAAGCAAAAGTAAGCACATGATAGATACAAAATAAAATATTTTGATGGATTGATTTATCCATCCATTTTGGTGGGACTTATATTTTATATTAGATACTTCACCTTCTATTTTTAGATAATGAAAGCAATCGATTTAAGAACTCAGTTGATACTGAAAGCTTAACAAATGAGCTGTCAGCCTATTTTTAAAAAAATAAAATTATTTCAAATACACTTATTTTTTTCCCTTTAAGCGCAGCCAAGAGTAGTATAAGTTAACAGTTTCACCTCTCCATCGGATTCTGTTGGGGATCGATGAGACTTCGGTTAGATCACGAAATCTATATTGACATGCTTTCTAGAAGGAGGCCATCGTGTAGGTGGCACAACCGAGAGGCATAAATCTATAGAAGACAATCTGCAAGGAGAAAAGAACTTAGATTTTCCGAAGGCTAGAAAGAGAATGTGTAACTGTTTGTGTAGATGAATGTATGGGAATAAAAGCGCTGAAATAGCCAATGAGTAAATGAGGGAGGAAAGGTTTCAAAACTTAGTCCTGGAAGGTTAAACCATAAGTTTATTATCTTTCTTCCCCTTCAACTTGAGCCTTTTTTCCTTCACTAAACTTCCTTTTCTTGCGGCCACCACGTTGCCTCTAAATAAACTCGAGAGTCTGCCCTGGGATCCAGGTCACGGACCCTGGTCAGGGTCCCACAGCCTCAGCAGTTCCCCCGGCTTTAATGTGTTGGGGTTCGGGCCTGCTGTGCACCCCATCTTAGCGGTGGTGGTAGGATGGCTGGGGATATGTTTGAAACATCACAACTGTTCAGTATTAAATTCACAAAGTTACTGTGAACCAGGCTTGATTGAAACTCCATCAACAGAGGCAGACAGAAAGAAAAGAAAAAGCAAACTGGCTCCATCTATTTCTAGAACTCCCAGCCCATAACTTCTCTCTAGGAGGATATCAAACTACCGTGTATGACATCATCAGAAAGGGGATTTGCAGGCGAGAAAGATTTCAGGAAGCGGGGCAGCCGATGGAGGCAGCTGTCTTTAGAAATCAATCACGTCAAGGGTTCCATGAATAGCACCAAGTACCATCCAATAATCACTTATAACTGTCTGCGCCGACATCTTAAGGGTTTTGAAACTGGTAAGCTTTTAAGATTGCAGTACTTGTTTATTCTTAAGTAGAGAAGGGGCAGGTCGGGAAAAAATTAAATCTTGGATCTCATCTACTAACCATTTTTTTGTTCAACCCCTTGCAAAATGCAGCGCTTTTTTTTGGTTGTTTTTTTTTTGTTACAGTGTTTGCATTTAAATGAAATCATCATTGTCCAGGAACAAATGTGGTCTTTTAATATTATTTGGGAAAACAGCAGGACTTCAGCGAGTTGGTAGCAGTACAATAGCTCACTCAGGCTACCTCATTCTAGCTGCAGACATGTTAATTAATATATTTCTCTGACACCTAGGTGATTGAAATAGCAATTAAAGAGTAATTAAAATGTTTACTTCTTGTAGGAATGTCAACTAAGATGTGGAATATAGCAATTACCTATGACGGATTAGAGGAAGATGGTGAGGCCTTTGAAGTGATTCTGAACTCCCCTGTGAATGCCGTGCTTGGCACAAAGACAAAAGCTGCGGTGAAAATTTTGGACTCAAAAGGAGGTATCCTTTTGATCATCTTGAAATCAGAAGCGGTCCTAGCGCGGCGGCTGCCTGCTTTCAACAGCCAATGCGCTTGATAACGCCTTCACGTCAAAATGCTTAATTTCTTGTCAAGAAAGCAACCTCGGTCGTGATGCAGGCCCTTTATTCAGCTTTCTGCCTCATGCGGTTTTCCTCCCGCTAAGAACTCTCGTTTCGGAAAAGCAACAAGTCAGGGCCGTCGTTAGTTTTTTTCCTACCCGTTTGTTGTTCTCACCAAGGGGGAAACAATGTTGGTGAGAATCTATCGACAATTATTTTCCCTCGGAGTTTGTAGGGCTGTAATTATCTTCCCCTGTTAAAGAGAGCTCTTAGTGCCTAAAATCTGAGCCCCCACTGGAGTGTGACCAGGAAAGGTCTAAAAGAGGAAGGAATGGGAGAGAAATAGATGTGAAAGGTGCAGCTGGCCTGGGGATTCAGGAGCAGCTGGAGAACATTAATGAATAACCTTGGGTTGCAGAGCCAAATGGGTCCTGGATGGTATGCTAAAAAACAACCTGTGAACTAAATAAAACAAAGACCCACCAAAGTTTTTGGTGCTTTGATTTAAAAAAATTTTTTTTGGCCAAATACCTTCTTATTTGTCTGTTTAGCATTTGACAACTGTCCAGTTACCATGCTAGCTCTTAATCTGCTGCTTTTATACCTGTCATGGCCTATGGTTCATATATTTTCCTGATTTGGAATCTATGGTCTCCTCTTCCCTTTGTCATCCTATCATAAAATAGACACTATCACCTTTCTCCTGTAATATTCATATTCCCACAACACCTCTTCCCACCACCTTTCTTCCCCCCCC